TTTCTCAGAACACGTGAACAGGACGCCGATGATCGTGGGGCTGCTCATCGGCATCGTGGTCCTCGCCATTCTTGCATTGGGATACCTCGGGTTTTTCCAAACTGAGAAAATCAAACGCTGCCTACACTTACCATGGTATGCCTCCCCGGTGAGAGGCAACACTGCTGCACACACTCACCACACAGACACCAGTGGGTGCTGTATCCACTCCAAGCGTGTCAGCGGGGCACGTAAAAGAGCTGATTCGACAGTTTGAAAGCATTCTGCTCACGATTACTCAGTGTGTAAGACTGATGTGATTCTTCTTGGTGCCTGGTGAGTCAATGAAATGTCCAATGGTGTTAAACACTGGAGAGTACCAGAGTTTACTCGAGAAAGAAAAGTCATTTTCTGTGGTAGAAAAACTTGTTTGACCTTGAATTTCCTGCCACATAACTGGTGGGAGTGTTACAACCAGCTCTGGTCGTCACGCCAGTTTGCTCGGCTTTTGGTTTGTCTTCCTATCAGACAGTGAGTCTCACATCTTTGTATTTACCAACAAACACGTGACATTTAACATTTAACCAACAGAACGTGAGCGGCTGAAATCTCCCAGAGTGACACTTAGACATAAGATCGGTGTTTCACTCAGACTGAAACTGACACAGAGTGAAGTGAAACACACAAACAGAACCATATTTACAACACTAGTTAACTTCTGGTAAATCGGCTCCAGTCATCACTCTTGCCTCCTGGGAACTCTCTCTATCACTTCCTCTTTGTCTTCTAACTTACACCCAACCTGTGGGCCATTGACAACATTCAGCATCAACTATTTGATTTCAAACTTCAAACTCATGATCCCGTCTGACCTTCTCTTCACCTCCACTGTTCACACACACAAAGATTGCCCATCCTCCATTGGTCTTCCTGTTGACACCACGGCACAACAGTTTGAATCCACCTCCAATGATCCTGCTCTTACTTCCCCTCTATCTGTACAGCTCATAGTCCCTACATGCTTTAACTTCCTGCTCTCATGTCCACACTTCTGTCTTTCCTTCTCTCTCACTGCCTGCTAACATGCCTTCCCCCAAATCCACAAAACCCCACAACAAAGAAAAACAAAGAAAGGAAAACACTGAGCCACAAACTCTGTCAATTCTAAAAGTGTGGAAAAGTTAATAACAGGCTAAAATTCAAACATGAAACTAAAACAGAGAGCATACTGAACCGGAAACCTTTCAGCATCCTCTCGGTTCAAAGGCACTATCAAGCTAAGCTAACCAGCAGTGCAGCACCAACATCACAGCTAAAAACACTCTGATTGGTTCTCTGCTTCTCAGTTTGACATTCACAAGAAATTGTGTTTCACAAAGTAGTTTATGTGTTCCTCCTTAAAGAAGGAGCCGTTTTTACAAGCTGACCATTAAAAGTTTTAAAGCCCATGAGTTTGTCAGCGCTGAAGATGGTCAAGAGGAAAAGAAAACCAGAAAACCTGGGATCACGCCTCAGATATGGAACAATTCAAAATTGGGAACCGAAAGAAGGTAAGGTGCTTTAACACTGGGAAATAAGACAAGAAACACACAAAAACAATCACAGCTAAAAGAGAAAATGAGTAAAAAAAGGTAAAAACCTAAACAAAATAAATTAACATCACATTAAATATTCTTTTATGGAAATGGCTGTGATAGACACACAGTGTTCAGTTCAGTTATTTATGACAACAGCGCTCGTCTCAAGGCACTTATATTGTAAGAGGAGGGAGACGTGAGCGTCCTCCGCCTGTGAAACTGTGTTGGGGGATGTGTCCTTGCTGCACCTGTTGTTAGTTTCATTAACACCAAAGCAGCTGAACCTGATTAACACCTCTGATACTGAACTAATCAGATCAATATCCCAAAGTTTCACTGACTTGATGTTGAACTGCTCCTCTATTTTGTAACATTTTCTGAGCAGTGTACACCAGACACACTAAAGGCTGCCGGTCACATTAACACTATAAACTGATGTTTTCTGCTTGTGTGATTACAGATGCAGTGAGAGTCGTGTTTCCCAGGCTGCTAATGGTGACATCCAGAAGCCTTCAGCAGGCAGCAGGTAGAGGACGTTCAAGAAGTTGTGCTGCTGTCCAAGACGACGTCTTACTTCTTAAACCTAAACACACAAACTTCTCAAAACAGAGTCTGATGGAGGACTTTAGTATGGCAGAGCTTGTGTGTTTCCTACAAACTGGACTATGAGATGAAGCGTGACATCCAGAGATGTTAAACAGAGTTTTCAGATTATTTTCGTGGGCTGCTGGGATGTATGCGTTTGGACCGTGATGAGGGGAAAACAAGATTTCTGAAGTAATGTAATAGGATAGGTTAAAAAAGCTGATATCAGAGTCTGCTCGACTGCAGGAGGAGGACGTCTCCTGAGAAGCAGTTTAGAGGATTCTGACTATCCTGGTAAGACAGCTGACAAAGCAGGAGATGGGACCTGGAGTAGCAGCTGTTTATGTACCTAATCTATGTTTACGTCACCGAGTTTTTGTTATGTAGCTTTAAAACATGAATTCTAGACAAACAGATATGGATTTTGAGGTTTATTGCTAACACTGATGTCTGAATGCCTTCAAATATGTTGTCAAAGTTGAAATGCTTGAGATTAATAAAACATGTTTGGCCACAGTTTATGGACATGAACTTATATCAGTAATGTTTAACTTTTTTATTAGAGGATATCATCAGTTCTGCTTTACTGGAGACGAGTGTAAGCATTTACAATATGATCTAATATCAGCCTTCACTGATGGCTCTCTGACAGCTACAGCAGAGTCACTCTTTACAAAATACGACACTTGGCAATGCAAATATGACAATGACCTTGGAATGCATATGCGGCAAGAAATGCCGATCCTGCGGCTCCACCAGGCCAGGAGGAGGTGTGAGCAGAAGGTGTTGGCATCACAGCGCGCAGAAAACATGCCTGGTGAGACAAAGGAGGAACCAGACCCGGAGTCACCCCACAGTGTCCGGAGCCTCCAGGTGATGCATGCCCTTGAAGCTCACAGGTCATCAGAACATCGTCGGGTGAAGTGGCCTCAAGCTAGCAAGGAGAAGGCGTGACTCCAGTTCGA